GACTTCATCAGAGATCTGGAGCAGGAGATCTCTGAGCTGAAGAAGAGGAGCTCTGAGGTGAAGCAGCTCTCACAGGATGAAGATCCCCTCCACCTCCTCCAAAGCTGCTCCTCCCTGAAAGCTGCTCCACCCACCAAGACCTGGACAGAGGTCAGAGTTCATCCACCATACTATGAGGAGACTATGGCGAAAGCTGTGGCTCTGTTTGAGCAGAATAAGAAGAAGATATTGGAGATGAAGAGGGTCCAGCGGTTTGCAGTGGATGTGACTCTGGATCCTGATTCGGCTCATCCTAACCTCATCCTGTCTGATGATGGGAAACAGGTGAAACATGGAGATGTGAGGCAGAATCTTCCAGACAATCCAGAGAGATTTTCTAAGTGTGTGAATGTTTTAGGACAGCAGAGTTTCTGTTCAGGCAGATTTTACTTTGAGGTTCAGGTTAAAGGAAAGACTAAATGGGATTTAGGAGTGGCCAGAGAGTCCATCAAGAGGAAAGAATTTAAACCACTGAGTCCTAAGAAAGGTTACTGGATTGTTATATTGAGAAATGGAAATGAGTATTTAGCTCTAGCTGGACCTCCAGTCCGTCTCCATCTCCATCCTGGTCCTCAGAAGGTCGGGGTGTTTGTGGATTATGATCAGGGTCTGGTCTCCTTCTATGATGTAGATGCTGCAGCTCTGATCTACTCCTTTACTGGCTGCTGCTTCAAGGAGAAACTCTACCCGTACTTTGGTCCTGGCCTTAACGATGGAGGTAAAAACTCTGCTCCTCTGATCATCTGTCCTGTTGGTTGTTGATCTGATGAAATGATGAAGAATAAATCTGCATGACTGTGGTTGAAGTCCTGCTGGTGGAGAAATGAGCTTGGAAACGTCCTCAGCAGGAAGTCAGCAGTTCAGTTGACAGCTGGATTATTTGCTGCAGCTACTTCTTTTCAGCTTTTGATCAGATAGATAGAGCACAGCCCACATAAAGAGGCCTTAGTCCTCAATATGGTCGTCACAGGAAAGAGTCCCAGCCTGATGACCTTTGGCCGCCGCATCTGTTCCCCTCTTTCATTACCAACTTTCCTGTGTGGCTCTGGAGAAAACAAAAACCATAAAACCTTCTTTTTGCGTTTACAGAAATAAAAATGTAAAACTGTGCTGCCTTTATTTGAGATCATCTAAAATGTTGTTTTATTAAGGAGAAAGGCAGGATGGGAATCGGAACCGGCTCGCCGCTCATGGGGTCCCGTAACGTGTGGCGTATTGTACACACATGCCTCCAACCACACAGCATGAACCGATTTGTGCAAATGTAGTGTTTGATAATGTTGCTTAGCTTGTCTCTTGGGGCAGAAAGCTTTCTGGTCACACGTCAGAACAGGTCCTCAGTAGGTCATATAAATCCAACACAAACACGTCATGAAATGCTCCTGGTTCCTGAGGGAAGTAAAAATGGCTCCTCCTCTTCATCTCTTCAGTTTCCACATCACCAAAGTGACTTAAATTACAGACTGTTGTTTAGTCTTCCTTCAGATCTGAAACACTTGAAAAAATAGTTTCTAATCAAGCGTGTGAGCATCTGAACAGTAATCGGTTTGGAGAGTTTGACTCAGGCTTTAGGGTTCATCATGGCACCAGAAAGTTCCTGATGATAGGCAGCAAAGTCCTAAAGTCAGGAAGACGTCCTGACACCTTTTAAGACACCAAATATTTTTCAGTATTAAAAACAGTTCTGTTCTTTCCAGGCTTTTTATTTTTATAGTATTTGTATTCGAATGCACCGATTTATCAGTGCCAATTTCCTTAATTTTGGGAGATTGGTGATTGGCTGATTTTTACATATGAAACCGATTTTATCCACCGATTTTATCCACCGATCTCCTCTAGCTTGGCAAATGTGTAAAAATAAACCCACTGTCCTCTTTGCTCTCCGGGGAGAATGGTTTAACAGAAGTTAATTGTAAATTAACTATTGCCAACTCAACAACTTTCTTGTTATATTGAGCAACATTTCATGCAGAAAAAAAATTGGTATTGGCCAAAATTGGAATCGGTAGGTTAAGCTTTTTAAAAAAATTGGTAATCGCCAATCGGCCAGAAAACTGCAATCGGTGGACCCCTAATCTGCATCAAAAGTCTTGAAGAAACTGAAAAATAACCCTTCAAAGATTTTCTTTGACTTTTAGTTTTATTAGATCTTGTCAGCAGCATTTCTCAGAGCTCTGGCTGCAGACTCAAAACTAGGACTCTATATTGAAACTACCCTTCCTGCTGCCCTCTCCTCAAGATGACCTTCACTCGGTGCAAAGCTCCAAGTCGCAGCACTTTGTTGTCGTCTAACAGACCCTGTGTTTTATTTTACCTAGTGATCATCTATTAAGTGCAAAATAAGTAAATACAAAGTGAAAAGTTACATTTTCCATTTTACACACAAGAAATGTGGGTCTGAAATGGGAGATATTTTTCTATCGTGGCCCTACCAGAGCTGCAGCCGTCACTTCAGACGCCACTGAGACGATGAAACCCCTGGCTGAGTTTTACCACAGACGTTTGGATGTGAAGTGGAGCCCCGTTAGCTTAGCCTTGGGGCACAATGGATAGAAAAAACCTTTGAACTTAAAGAGGACAGCAGATTGGAGGAAATTATTTGTGTTTGTTGTATTTTGCTATGATGTCCAGCAGAGGGCGCCATCAGTTTAAGTCTTCATAGGATGAGACTAATTCTCTTGATGATTACATCTGCCAGGAGGTCAAAGTTCATGGTTCTTCTGTAGCTAAAAGTAAAACCACTGTGTTATGCTGTAGCCTGCACACATCCCAGAAACAGAAATTAATTTTCTAATTTGTTTCTTTTTATGGGATGAATTCATTTGTTCATTAATCTAGATGGGTGTTCACTGATCTGTGGTCTGATCTGAGTTTATTATAATAAATCCACATTTTCATTCGTGTGGTGAACTGGTGGTTCAGTAATGTTTGGACTTCCTCTGGATAAATCACTGACAGTCGAGGAGCTCAACGTGTTTTAGGAGCTTTTACCAGAAAAATATCAAACATCTGGGCAAAATATTAATTTATTGATATGTTAATTTTTTATTCTTAAACCAAAGTGTATATTTATTAAGGTTATTCTTAACATTTCATTCATGTTCAGCTTTGAAAACGGTGCATAACGTTTTCTGGTGTTTGGCTCCCTCTGCTGGTTCAGGTGCGTAGCTGCAGTTTGAATAACAGGTTTATATGAATCAATGTGAATTAATTAACCATCAGCCATTAATGATCTCTGACAATAACAAGTCATGATCTAAAGAAGAGGAGCCATCGGTTGGGTTTTCTACATTTATTATGATGTAAAACATAAAAACACAATGTTGTTCCGAACCTCCTCCAGTTACGTAACGCCTTCACTCAGACTGGTTGGTGACCTCTGACCTCCAGCACACATGGAGGAATGAACAGAGGATGACATAAGAAGTGTTAATCCTCCTTATCCTGCGCTGACGGATCACAATCAGCCTGGAAATCCTCGGCACGCAGCTGCTGCTCCCTCAGCCTCATTGTTCCAGAACCAGCTTCTCTAAAGCGGACCTCCAGAACCCGAGCCTTCAGGTGAACCCTTTCAGGTTCTGGAAGGACCCAGAAACATTGTGCTGCTGAAGCTGCAGCAGGGCGGAATGACAGAGGATCCGATTGTTTCACAGAAACTGGGTCCTCTGTTGGGAGGTCGGACCCGTCACACTCTGGTACCGCTCTGGTACCGCTGGGCTTCACATGCTGCATTGTTAACCCACTGGAGCAGAAACAGCTGATCGTATGTTCAGACTGCTGCTCCATCTGAGACCCAGTTCTGTCCAGAACCGCTGATCCGGATCCCTCTGTAGTCCATTCAACCGGATCGGATCGTAGTTCTCCGGGTCAGATTGGACCGGATTGTTAAAACTGATACAGTGATAATGTGAACCAGAACCATTCCTGCAGGTTCTCCAGCTCAGCGACCCCAGTGTCCTCCAGAACCAGCAGAACCAAAGCTGCAGCTGGAGACCCGTTTCTGTCAGCTTGAATCAACTTTATCTATAAAAACTTTCCGTACAGAACCGACCCGCTGGACTCTGAGTCACTTCACCTCAAAACGAGCGACAAAAACAGCATGGCTGAAACGGTGACCGGGCCGGGTTCTGGTTCTGCCTGTGAAAACGGAGCGTTTCCTGTGTACTGTCGCCACATGCTTGGTCCGGAGGAGGGAGGCTGCAGTGGCTGTTCGCACACCTTTAACAAGCTGAACAAAACTTCCCTCATCATGAACACGACTTCAGCAGCAGGTTTTACTGAAGAGGATTTCAAACATCTGTCGGGAATTACAACTTTATAAATAATAAAAGTCAAATATAATAAATATAAAAACTATGAGGCTGGTTCCACAGGAATCAAAGACTTGTCATGTTTTTGAGCTGTGGGAGGAAGCTGGAGTACCCAGGAAGAGACGCAGGGATCAAACCCAGAACCTTCTCACTGAAGGCAGCATCTTTACCCACAGCAGCTTCATCCCAGTTAACAACCACAGGCGGAGCTTTTCACACAGCTGCCAAACAGGAAAACAAGAAAAACTACAAATTCTCAAATAAATGCTGAAATATCAACAAACATGGAGGAAACCTTCCTGTTCGGCTCGACTTCACGACTGGAAACTTCAGAGTTTCTTTCCTGAACCAACTTCAGGAAAATCTGCAACAATCAGAACATTTAGATGTTCTGGTCCGACCCGTTTGGACCAGAACCATTCGACATGACGGTCATCCGGTGTGTTGAGCTGAAGCTGTAACCTGCATGCTCCCGGGCTGCAGTCCTGCCTGTAACCATGGCGACGGCCAGCGAGGCGATGCAGACGTGATGCTGGAGCCAGAGCTGGGCGCCTGTCCGTTTATCCCGGCCCGTGTGTGTTTCTGGTTCCGGCTGCCAAGAACCAGATTTGAGCTGTAGATTAATGATGAGCATGTTGTCCCGATCCGATGAAATCTGACATGAGCAGTAATCACATCCAGCCGGGCCAGAACCGCAGCAGAGGGGCGGATAAACCCCGAGCTGCTCAGAGCGAGCTGCAGCAGAACCGGGTCCGGTTCTGCTGCAGCCGAGCTTCAGGTCCATTTAATATTCAGGCAGCTGCATCATGACTGCAGGAGGAGCTTCAGAGTTCTGACCCGGTTCTGATCAGCTGGTTCTGATGAACTGAGCAGGAAATGGTCCTTTCATCTCTGCTCATCTGAGTCTTAATAACAGATTTTTATTTCTCCACCTGTTCATTAATACAGTTTTAAATCCAAATTTCTCAACTTGAATTTTATTTCCTCTGATTTAAACTGAACTGGTTGATTTATTTTTCAGGAAAAAGGATTTTCTCCTCCTCTGGAAACCTCCATAAAGTCCTGGTCAAATCACCTGAAGTTTTGTTTTTGTGTCTAAAGAGTCTAAAATGGGTCAACACTTTTCTCAGCACCGGTTTGTGTTGACTTGTAAACAGAAACATGAACGAGTGAAGAGGAGAATCTGACCTGATTTCACGCCGTTAAACTGTGAGACCAGGATGTCGAATAAACAGAATCCAGAAAAAACTGGGATACAATTCAGATAAACAAAAACACAGGAAGGTCAAAACCATCCGAACAAACCCGGAATAAACCTGAACAGTTTGGGAACAATCATCAGCAGAAATCAGCCCAAAGTTCTACTGAGACCTGCAGAATTTCAAAAAGCCACAAAGAAGAAGCTGCTGGTCCAGACCGGACCTGCTGGACTCGGAGGAACTTTTCACCCAGAACCATAAAACACTGTAAAAACAATCAGGACTAAAGCAAAAAATCTAAATCAAATAAAAGTTTCCAGCGGATCCTTGGATCAGTTTTTCATCCGGTCCGACGTGGATGATTCTGCCCATGCCATCGAGGTCCGACTCGTTTCACCCTCC